ATCATTATTTAACAGTATTATATAACAAATTTGGCAATGATGCTACATTTAATCTTATTAACACTCACCTGCGACAAAACATTCAAGCGAAGTCAAATTTAGATGGCCCCAAAATTTAGATAGGTTTCCATAATTTTCATACCAGGAGCAAGAGCAAGGATCAGTCCTTGAATCCTTGTTTGCATTGCTGCCTCTGCGTATCTTCAAGCTAGAACCACACTACCTTTCATACTGGCGACAACACTCTGATGAGACAATGAAACCCTACCCCAAACTCCTCCCCTGATCCTATCCTTCAACAATGTACCCCTCTAACCTCGAGTAAGCCGCGAGTATTCGGCCCAACTCCTACTAGACACAGATATGAGTGAATTTTGTTTAAAACAATGATTAATGAATTATTGGCTCCGTAAAGCTAACACGATTGAGCCTTCCAAATAAACGAACTGGATAAAAACAAAAAAACTGTTCTAAGATACATATGAATGTACAAACTTTAACTTTTTAACATATGCCTAAATTACAAACTGTATTGCGTCTCCATGAAATGCATAGAAACGGTAAAAAAAATCAAAAATTTCAAATCAAGTTTATTCAATTTTCCCCCGATAGAATATTTTAAAACTAACCGATTTTTAAATGTAAGCACCCAAACTAACTTTTGGTGAAGAAAAACCCGAGGTACATGAAAGTTGATTAATCCGCCACTTAGGACACGGCGTGGGACGGTGACGCTCAATGCGCTACAAGCCATCCGATCGATCTACTCCATCATCGTACGGTGGGAGCCATACCGTGGTGGCTATCGTGACGTAACGCAGTGTCAGAGGTGCCTCAATTTTGGACACGGTACCCGCAACTGCAACATCAAGCCACGCTGCAGCAACTGCGCTCAAGAACACGCCACTTCCAACTGCCCTGCGGATGGAGCCATGGCGATAAAATGCGCAAACTGTGGTGGTGCGCATCAAGGTTCCGACAGACAGTGCTCCAAACGCGAGGACTTCAAACGCATCCGAAAGCAGGCGTCAAGCAACAATCAACCAGGACGCAAGAAGGACAAAACCCCAGCATTCAGGACGGAGGATTTTCCGCCTCTTCGTGCTCCCCAGCAAAGGCAAGCGAATTCGCGGGTGCAACCCGCCCCGCCTCAAGAAGCTTCCGGTGATTCTGCTGGCCAAAGCTCGCCATCCCCCCCTGGATTCTGGAGACAACAAACAGCACAAAACAACAATCCCGATCTGTTATCAGCGGATGAACTGATGGAAATTTTCGACAACATGTCCGGTGCTCTTCGTAAGTGCCGCAATAAGCCCGAACAGATTCAAGTGCTCGGTAAGTTCATCATCCAGTATGGCGTCTAAACCGCTAACTATCGTCACCTGGAATGCTTGCTCTGTAAGAGCAAAAAAGATTGAGCTTGCCGACTTCCTCCGCAAGCATAGCATCGACGTGGGCCTTCTAACCGAGACCCATCTAAAGTCCGGCGACAGCTTCTGGTTGCCTGACCACAACACTATCCGGCTTGATCGCACCAGCTCCAGGGGGGGTGGTGTTGCGGTCGTCGTCAAGAAAGGAATGAAATACCACACTCTGTCCCATATCCGCACCTCTATCATCGAGGCCCTTGGTGTGGAGGTGGAGTCGTCGACTGGATACGTCCAGTTCATCGCCGTCTACTGCCCTCGACAGAGTGCCGCCAGTAGCGGGCTAGCGGCTAATTTCAAGAAAGACCTGTCCACCATCACCCGTACTGGTTCCCGCTTCGTTGTTGGAGGAGATCTGAATGCTCGCCATGAGGCCTGGCGGAACTACCAGCAGAACCAGAACGGTCGTCTGCTGCTCGACCATTCGCAGCATGGGCTGTACTCCGTTTGGACGAGCCAACATTCATCTCACCGGCAGGCAACCCATCGACGCTAGACCTGTTTCTTTCAAAACCGGCTTGTCTAAGCCGGTAGCCTTAAACGAACTCAGCTCCGACCATCAACCGGTGGTGGCTGAACTGGGATACAACGTAGCTCCTGCTCCAAGCCTGCGCAAGGACTACCATCGCGTAAACTGGGTCCAGTTTGGACGCGTGGTAGACAGGCACATCATCGACAACCCGTTGCTTGACACCGTGGAGGACATCGACCGAGCGTTGGAGGGACTCCACCAAGCCATAACCGTGGCTGATGAGGCGTGCGTCCGACGAGTTCCTGTGAGGGGTAAGTTTATTGCCATTGATTCCCACACCCAAATCTTAATTCGCTTGAGAAATGTTCGTAGACGCCAGTTTCAGAGGACTGGAGATCTAGCGAGGAAACGTGAAATGGCCAATCTGAACAAGGAGATTGCTTCCAGAATGGTCTCACTCCGGAACGAAAGTTTCGGGAGGCTTGTCCAGAATCTGGACGACCGCTCCAGACCATTCTGGAAGGTTGCCAAAGTCTTAAAGACGCACCCTAAACCCATTCCACCACTCAAAGATGAAAATGATGACGATCGGCTCATAATCACCCCTCAGGAGAAAGCAAATGCGATTGGTGAGCATATTGCCAAATCGCACTTGCTTGGCTCCAACATCCAAAGTCCGCTCGAAGTTCAGGTTGAGCAATGCGTACTCAACCTTGATTCATTCCCTTGTGCCATCCCTCCGGAGGATAGAATCACAGTGGAACAGATTTGCTCAGCGCTGAAATGCACCAAAACATGAAGGCCCCCTAGTGTTGAAAAATCTCAGCATGAAGGTTCACTCTCTGCTGGCTGCTGTCTTCAACAGATGCTTGGAACTGCACTACTTTCCAAGTATCTGGAAGACAGCGAAAATTATACCTATTCGCAAACCCGGGAAGGACCCAACGCTAGCTTCAAGCTACAGACCAATCAGCCTCCTTTCAGCGCTGAGCAAATTGTTCGAGAAACTCATTCTCAATCGTTTGCTCAAGTTTGTCGAGGAAAATAACATTCTCCTTCCGGAACAGTTTGGGTTCAGAAAGGGGCACTCCACCAATCACCAGCTAGTACGGGTGATGAATAACATCCGAAGTAACAAAGCTATCCAAGTCCACAGCCATGGCCTTGTTAGACGTTGAGAAAGCGTTTGATTGTGTCTGGCACAATGGGCTTGTATACAAGCTTTGTAACTTCAACTTTCCATTACATCTGGTTGAAATCACCCGTAGCTACCTCCAGCAAAGGTCGTTTAAGGTATCGTTGAATGGTTGTCTTTCCGACACGTTTTCCATCCCAGCAGGAGTCCCGCAAGGCAGTCTGCTGGGCCCCTTGCTTTACAGCATTTACACTTCCGACATTCCTCCCCTTGGAGACGGTTGCGTGTTTTTCCTGTTCGCAGATGATACCGCAATAGCCGTCAAGGAAGGATGCCTCGCGAAATAACGAACAAACTTCAACGATGCCTTAACGCCTTTGCTGATTATGCCACCACGTGGAAAATCAAAATCAATGCTTCCAAAACACAAACGATCATCTCCTCCATCGGCAATCACCCAAACTAAAACCGGCTCCCTCTTGTACTGTAATCATGGATGGCACAAGGGTTGAGTGGTCCGCCGAAGTAACCTATCTCGGGATGTTGTTTGACGAAAAGCTCCTATTCCGCTCACATGTGAAGAAAACCGTAATCAAGTGTTCCGCCTTGGTTAGGTGTCTGTATCCACTGATTTGCCGCAGATCCCGCCTCTCAAGGGTGAACAAACTGGCCGTCTACAAACAAATAATAGCACCTGCGATCCTCTACGCAGCTCCGGTGTGGGAATCATGTGCACAGACTCACAGGAACAAAATTCAGGTCGCTCAGAATAGAGTGCTGAGGATGGTTCTTGATCGTCCTTTCGACACTAGAATAACAAATTTACACGAAGAGGCAGGCATTGCCAAAATAGATTCAAGAATTAACGAAATTAAAACTAAATTTGCACAAAAATGTAATTTATCAGAACATGCTTTAATAAGCAATTTGTATATAGTAGATTAGGTGTATATAGTAGTTTAGGTTAGTTGTAGATGTAAATAGTAGTTATAAGTAGTCTCCTTTTTTCAATTCAAATCAAACTAATCCCACTAAGGTGGTCATACTTTAAAAACAGGCCTGATAGGACTAGGAACTGTAAATAATAATTAAAATCTCAAATGTACTAAAGTTGAAAAGACGCATCTGTGTCACTTGATAAGTTATACACGTAAACCACACAATACAAGAAATAAAGATCATTTAAAGTGAAAGTCGTGCAAAAGAGAGTTCTTTTCCGACCAAGCACCAGTAAACATCAGCAGCAGTAGAAGCAGAATTTGTAGAGAGAAAGAGGAGAGAATAAACAGTTGTTAGCGTAGCCGTCCCGATCAAGTTTATTCTGCACACATCCCTGGTTTGGAGCAGCGTCGAACCCCCAGCTCTTTTCAGAGCCCTTACGAGTTGATTTCCGATTGACGCTTGCTTCCTCCACCACCCTGCCGATACAGTCCACTATCAAAAGGGAAGGTTCCCTCCCAGTCCGAACACTAACTCTATTGATTAAATAATGGCACCAAGAAATGTGCAAAATCTTGCGATGCAATCAATTATTATTTTGCACGTAAATCGAATCAAAAATAAAAATCATAGAATCCTAGCTTCTAGCAAGGGTTGCAAGATAATTTAGGTACAAATTCCTGCTGCCGAATTGTAGATTGTTTTCTCCGCCCATCTCTCCCTCTGAGTATTTCTAGTTTCGAGTGGTGCACCGATTAGCTTGGGACCTTGGGAAGATAGTACCGGAGCTGAGCCAAAAAGTTGAGCACATTTCTTCGGGACCTTTTGGTCTTAGAGTTACCTCTATGTATTATCATATTCTCTAAAGCTTGGCCCATCATATTCAGTTTTAAATTTTGATCCCTCGGCGTAAAGTGCATGGATTGTGTCATAATTATCCGTACAAACATTTTGACAACTATTGGTCTACTCATTCGTTTTCTCAAATTCACTAATACCAGATTATCCTTCCTTTTTTTTCTCGCAGCACATTCGATCATCCCTACCCGACGACAAAGATTATGTGGATCCCGGACTCCAAGGGAGTGTTCCCAGATCTTTTGGCAACGAGTGGAGATTACCTGCGTGTCTGGCGTGCCGGAGAACCGGACACCCGGCTGGAGTGCGTTCTCAACAATAACAAAAACAGTGACTTCTGTGCTCCGTTGACTTCGTTCGATTGGAACGAAGTCGATCCCAACCTGGTGGGAACCTCTTCCATTGATACGACCTGCACTATTTGGGGCCTGGAAACGGGTCAACCTCTGGGTCGAATAAACCTCGTTTCTGGCCATGTCAAGACTCAACTGATTGCACACGACAAAGAGGTGTACGATATTGCATTTTCCCGAGCCGGAGGTGGACGGGACATGTTCGCGTCGGTCGGTGCCGATGGCAGTGTGCGCATGTTTGACTTACGCCACCTGGAACACTCTACGATCATCTATGAAGATCCGGCTCACACACCATTGCTACGGTTGGCCTGGAACAAACAGGATCCCAACTATCTGGCCACGGTGGCAATGGATTCGTGCGAGGTGATCATTCTGGACGTCAGGGTTCCCTGCACTCCGGTGGCCCGGTTGAGCAACCATAGAGCATGCGTCAATGGCATTGCCTGGGCACCGCACAGTTCCTGTCACATCTGTACGGCTGGAGATGATCACCAGGCACTGATATGGGACATCCAACAGATGCCACGACCGATCGAGGACCCAATTCTGGCGTATACGGCAGCGGAGGGCGAGGTCAATCAGATCCAGTGGGGAGCTACGCAACCGGATTGGATTGCCATTTGCTACAAAACGGCATGCGAGATTTTGAGGGTCTAAAAGGGAGCCGCAGTGTTTGTTTTTTTGCTTTAGTTTCTTTTAGCAGAAAAATTTAGCTTTCTTTTGGTGCAGTGATTCCTAATCGATGGGGTTTGGGAATCTTTCTAAGGTGAAGGTCTTTTCTTATTTCCTTATGCGGAAATTTGAACAAATAATGTTTGATAACATTTCGAGTTCCAAGAATTGGAATTAAATTTTCCAAAAAAGATTCAATATTTTTAGCTGCAAGATAAACAGTTGTTGAGTATGTACCTTCAATGTTTTACTCTTTAGACAACTCGACAATTTCAGTGATAATGCAGACTTTTTTTTAATGAATATTCAAAATTTAATTTAAACATGACATCCAAACCAAGATACTTTGGAAAAACAAAATCTGAAACGAATTGATTCCCGACATCGATCGGACAAACCCAGCCATTTGATTACGGATGATCACTGCCAACAGTGTACATATGAAGACTGAATTGGTTTTTTTTTTTGGTTACTTCCTTTTATCCTCTACCGAAGCTTCCGTCGATTTATCGTAGCAATTTTTGCCTTTAGTTTATATGTACTTCCTCAGTTATCTCAACATGATGTAAGCGAAAAGGAGTGTGTGTCATTGTGTAGCGTTTATTTTTATTTGTACATAATGTTTAAGCAAATTCATAACTTATTCCATTCGCTATGTCGTGCTAACCGCGAGATAAAAACGGCAAACAGACTCTCAAAACAGAAAACCGCAAATGCGCGATGCGAAGGTGGTGATAACTTCGCTTGGCAATCGTTTTGGTTCTTCCAAACCGCAAATCATTTTATGTTTGCTTCGTATCCCAGCATCACACCCCTTACGTTTCCATATGTGGGAAAAAAAAACCAGACTCGATCGATTCCGATCCGGCAGACAAGGCAAGCATTTTAAGCAGTCGGCCTAGTCTCCGTTACAAAACTAAAAACAGCAACTTCGTGTCCATCGAGAAACGGTCTAACGACGAACGACGTGATGAGTAAGCCAAATCGGATCGGCATCGAAGTGATTCGCTTCTCCGGGCCGCTTGATTTGCCCTAGCCGTGGAATCACGGCTAGGCACAAACAATATATGCAATTAATTTGATTGAATGGTAAATGATGAGTAACATTAAAGTAGTGAATATACAGTAGTCTTAACAAAGTAGCAAGTATCTATAGAAGTAATAACAAGTGAAAATATCGAACTTGATTAATATTAGAAAAATAGTTCAAATATGGAACCTAACTTATCGATGCATTCGAGTAGAATACATTTCTAATAACTTTATGTTGAAATGGATACATTCTCTACATATATCACATTTGTATGAATAAAGTGGAACACAATAAATATCGGTTATTGAACCGAATTGTTATTACTTATTTTTATTCGAAATTCCTTAGAATCTGCTCCACCTGCGATGGATAAATTAATCAGGAAGGTGAAATGGTCATATGTGTACCCTGATGAGTACCCAAGTAACCATTTAGTCGCAATATAGCTTGTATGTACTTAACTTGCTTGAGTATGGTTAGTTGAGGAGTCCGATGAAATTGTCACTTCCCTTTCGTATTTCTTTCATTCTCTTTTCGTACTTTGCATATAGCACCATCTCATACTTATCTACATTGATTCAATGATGTGTGGTCCGCTCATTCCGAGTGATCGGTGTACCAGCGATTACCAGATGACTATGGCGATGCAAGAAAATTTGTTTTCGTTGAAGGAAATATCACAACACAGGTATTGCTATTAGATATTTTTGCAAACAGTGACAGATGATGGACATGTAGATCCAGTGGAGGTGCCGGGCAAAAGTGTTAGGGGTAAGAGGGACATAGTGAACAGGTGGAGCATAGTTAGCATCCCGTGCACCAGCTTGGACTTCCGGCCGTTCGGAACCAATTTGGTTGGTGGTAGGATCAATATCATAATGCTGTTGAACCTACTACCAGTTGATTTGTTTCATGCAGCTGGAGATTCAGAGCCAAACTGCGGGATGCTCACTATGCCCCTCCTCCCCCTATATCCTAGATAAATGGTAAGTTCGAAGTTCGCTGTTTTCGTCGTCGTAGTCGCCGTTGGCAGTACCATTCGTATATTTAAATTTAATTATCAACGGCAGAAACTATATGAATTATCGCGTATCATTGTTGTTCATTACATTCCAAGCGGAATCTTAATCATATTTTGTCATGGAGTGTTGTGGTTTTGACATGCTCGATTACCTTGAAGGGATCGTTTTTTGCAGAAAATAATGGGTAGTATTGTATTCTTATATTCTACATATCTATATCTATATTCTATATATAAAAAATGAATTTCTGTCTGTCTGTCTGACCCTTATAGACTCGGAAACTACTGAACCGATCGGCGTGAAAATTTGTATGCAGGGGTTTTTGGGACCATGAAAGGTTCTTATTGTGCGACTTACCTGGTGAAGAGCCGGTTTGACCAGGAAATTGGACTATGTGACTATTGAAAGGTGTTGTCGAGGCAGTGGTTTAGTGGCAAAAGGGAATGAGTATTTTGACTTTAAATGATCTTTATTTCTTGGTGGGCATTGGCCAGATTTGGATTTTTTCAGATATAATCCTAAATAGGACCTAGATTATTTAATACTCTAGTAACCTCAAGTCCGTGCTCTGTCACAATGTTTCATTGTGATTAATCAACACTCAAAGAGGTAAAATATCAAATTTGGGGTGAATTTGAAAGAAAGGGAACTTGGAGTGTAGAGCGCACTGCCCACTGGACGATTCTGAAGCCTGGCCAAGTGAGTGGGGTATAGGTTTATTTGATTGAACGTCATTTCCAATGTATATATTGATACATTCAAACCATTGGCATTTGAGATAAGACAGAGATAGGATGCGGAGGGCCCGCTTAGGGGAAGCGTAACCCATGTTATGGTTTCCATTTATTCTTCTTCTTCTTCTTCTTCTTCTTCTGTGTGAGCTGTGTGAGTTTGACAACTCAAAAAGGAGGGCTGAGTGACGAAGACTATATTGCCCTATGCATCTTTTTATGTCGCATGGACAGCTTTTGGGCAGTCGACTGCTTTACGTTTTGTGCATTTCACATTTATGAATATCAAATTTATAAATCTAATTTACATTCTTTTAAGAACATCACTACCTCTTTGAATGTATCAATGTCCTTTGATTGGAACAGTTCAAGCAAAGTTTTAAATTTACACTCGAATGGATATTTTGATCTGATGTGTCCAAATCTACAACATAACAAAATAACATGCTCTGCCGTTTCGGGTTTTTGGCAAATTTCGCAATCCGGGTCATCCACGAGTTTCATTTTGGCGAGCCAATACTTTGAATAGTCATGGCCTGACAGCAACCTATTCAACAGTCTCACTTCAGTATTACTCAAACTTCTATCATAAAACCAAGGAATTTTCTCAAATTGATTCTGAAATCCGAAAAATTTGAGACCCTTGCCTTAAATTTCTGCATAATCACGATACCACAGGTTTACATTTTCCAATAGTTTGTTCTTTAAAATCAGAAAAGCATCTTTGATAAATAGTACGTTGGACATGACCACCGGTCCGTTAATAGCGTGTTTTGCTAGTGCATCTGCAATTTCATTGCCATTAATATTTACATGGCTAGGAATCCACTGAATGGTAACCGACCAACGTGAAGCCTTACGGATCATCTCATTTAAAAATTTATTGTTTTGAGAACTATTAGATGCCGCATTTAAAATTTGGCATGATGATCTAGAGTCAGTGTAAATAACTGCATTTTCTATTTGATTGTCACAAATATTATTTAAGGCTATATCAATTGCAATGACTTCCGCTGTCGTTATGCACGTTTCATTTTCTAAACGAATTGATTGTCTTGATCTGAGATAATCGTTAAAAATACCTATTCCACATACATTACCACATTTTGATGCGTCCGTAAAAATTCGAGGTCTAAATTTATATTTACCATTCATTAGACACAATACTGCTTGCACAGACAAACAGACATAACACTCGAAAGTTGTTCATCGAACAAGCATTTAACGGGCAATTTAAAAGTATCGTAGTTGGTAGTACCGCCACCTGTGGCGCGCATAGTCAATTCCCTTGCGTTTGACGTTTACACACTACCACCATCTGTTCAGCGTAGTGCCCACCACAGTGTACTCAACAGATGGCGGTAATGTTTTAGCGACGATGTTTTACAGTGAAAAATATTCAATGTGTTATGTCTGTTTGTCTGTGCTGCTTGTTTTAGCTGAATTGGATTTGTATTAGATTTTTTGCTTACTAAACATTTTATATCACTTTCAATTTTTAAATTAATTGGTTTCTCAAGCAACTTTTCTAGCGGCGATATATTGTCAATTACAAGCTTATATTTAAAATATATACTTTCTAAGTATGACCACTTGTCATGAGAAATTGTATTCAAGTCTGTAGATTTAAGTTGTTCAGAAACAATATTATTTGTGAAAAAGTAACGACCAATTTCTTTTGCTGTACAATACTGATGTCTTAATTCAACTGGTTCTTGTCGCGCTATTGCCATAAGTGTATTTAAAGGAGTTGAACGTGTGCAGCCTGTAACTTTCCTCAACGCAATATTATTAACTGTTTGTAAAATTTGTTTGTTCGTTTTTTTAGAATTATTATAAATTGAAGAACCATACTCAACTGCACTTCTAATAAGAGATTGATAAACATTTATTAAAGTTTGAGGATGACTACCAGTTTTTATACCACTAATTACCTTAATCATATTCTATCTATCAGAAATTTTACTTTTTATTTGTTTTATATGAGCTCCAAAACTAAGAAATTTATCTAAAGTTATTCCTAAATACATATGATGATTAACTGTTTCTATTAATTGGTTGTTAAGTTTCACGTTAAGAATATTGTTGCTATTTTGGAAAATGATTGCTTTTGTTTTCTCATGATTTATTGTAAATTTTAACTTTCCCATTTCTATACTCAAATTATTCATAAATGACTGTGCTTTGTGATTCAAATGCTCCAAATTTTTAGCTTTGATAATTACACCAAAGTCGTCAGCAAATTGGACTAAAACTACATCTCCATTTGACAGTTCATGCAATTGTGCAGTATAAATGTTAAACAGAGTTGGCGACATTACATCACCCTGGGGAAGACCGTTCGAAACAAATCTTTCAATCACGCGATTTTCAGTTTTAAATATTATTTTCCTATTTTTAAGAAAATTTGTTATCCAATTAACTATCTCAAAAGGAGTTGAATGTTTTAAAAGAATTTGTTCCAGAATATCTGTATTAATTTTGTTGAAAGCGTTCGATAGATCTAAAAAAATTATTGCTGTCAAAAATCCATCTCTTTTATTATGTAATACTGAATTGATTACAAAATTTAAACAAGCTATTGTAGAATTATGTTTACGAAAGCCAAAAGAAGTTGCTGGAATAATGTTGTTATTATCCAAAAATAAATGTAGTTTATCTAAAACTGCACAATTTGTTACTTTTGTTAAAGTGGGAACAAGAGAAATTGGTCTCTTGCCATCGATGTTAGATTGATCTTTCCCATGTTTCGGTATAGCGACAATTTTAATAGTTTTTAGCGATAACGGTAAGAAACAATTCCTCCAATTGTTGTTTATTTCTTTAACAATTGCGATTTTGGAATCATCTGATAACACACTCAACATATCATATGAAATTTTGTCTTCCCCAGGAGATGAAGTTTTATTTTTACTTTCAACTATTTTATTGAACTTTTGAAGATTCAATAAGTTATAATTAACGCTGCCATAATGGCCTTCCAAAGCTGTGAAATCATTTATTCCAAAATGCTTATCTAAAAATTGGTTCGCTAGATTTTCATCTTCTATTAAAATATTGTTACTTATCTGTTTTCTGTGTTTACCTGTCAGCTTGTTAATTTTGTTCCAAAGTTGTGAAGAATTTGATGATGGATCTATACTATCAACAAACTCACGAAAATTATTGATTTTTTCCTCTCTTTTAATTTTATCAAAAATTGCTTGTGCTCTTTTAAACTTAATTAAATTTTCTAAAGATGATTGTTTATTGAATTCTGCTCTATTTTTCTTTTTATTTTTCCAGGCTTCTTCTACTTTACATGACCACCAAAATTTTGGGGTATATTTATTTTTAATCCTACATTGTTTGAAAAAATTTTCAATTTTCATTTGAAACTCATTAATGTCTGTTAAATTTGATAAATCTAACTTACTAATTTCATCTTTAATTTTCTTATAATTAAAAACATATTTTTCTCTCTTATACTGGTTCTGAATAGTGTAAGATATTTCAATAGCTACATGATTACTTCCGATGTTATAATCTAACGTTTTCCATACAACATCGTTGTAGAGAACA